CCGTTCGAGACTGACGGGCAAAAGAGAGACAAGCCTGGGACTCACGAATCGAGACGAAGATCAGAGAAAGCCACGAGCTGGTGGCGGCAGCGCCTTTCTATATAAGACATTCTTTTCCTTCCCACCAGGGTCTTCAAGGCTGTGGCAACGGCGTCGACATGGTCACGGGCCAGCGCGACCATCGCCGAGTTGGCACCGCTGAGATCGGCACCTGAAGTGCTCAGCTGAAGACTTCATGGTCCAACTGAGCCATCTCGCACTGCATGCATCCAGAAACCGTTTTCGGGTGGCGCTGGGTCAGGGGTTTGAGAGGACGTGCCAAGACTTGCTTATTTGCGAGTCGGCGCAACTCTAGGACCCTAGAGTGAAGTGTAACTCATTGCACGACTTGCTCCGTCTTGTCGAGGGTACAAGATGTGTCCTTACTATTTGTTTGAACACATAGCATTTGTTCCTCTTTGTTCACAATGTGGTTGTCGCGATTGTGCCGTCACTCGAATGCGTCACTGAGCAGTGAAAGCCGAGAAGTGAAAAGTGGATACTCGGGGTTTCGAACACCGAAAAATGCCAACATTGCGATTGGCCTGTCTTCGTGTCGCGACAAGGGGCTGCCGGCTCGCGGGGAATTAGATCTGCAAGGTTGTGACGATCAGCAACAAGCCTTTCCAGGCCATGCATCCGGTCTGCGAATTGCTCCATTTCGCAGAGAGAGCCTGGCCATCAACTCTTTCGCAGTTGGCACGGGGCTTCATCGCTGAAGTGCGGCCCTCCCCTGTTGTTGACATATGAAGGCATCCTGGTCGAGGGGTCTAAGATGGGAATCCAACGCGACGTAATTATCAAATATGGAAACTAAAGCCGACGTCAACTATCCACCCGTCGCTCTGACGTTGCGGGTGACCATCATCCAAATACAGACCCTCAAACTGCATCCTCACCCTCTCCGTAGCTGTGTCCTAATAAATTCCCAGCGCGATATCTCTCGCCCTCGAACCACCGTTGCAAGTCCCCTCTGACTTTCCCTTCCCCTTGCCCTTATCCCCAGAAGCCTTGGGAGGCTTACAGTTTGCCAGCATCTTCTTCATAGCGGCGTCCTCGACGTCAAGATCATCCTCAATCGCCCTCAAAATCTTATCCTCGTTACGTTCCTTCCGCTGATGCGATAGAGAGACAGCCTGCTTCAGTTGTTTCCACGTCTCCCTCGCGTCCCTCTCATCGAGTGTCGGTCGCTGAGTCGCAAAGTTGTCGAAGGCTTTGGCGAGGCCAAAGCAGAGGTCGCAGCGTGGAGCGTCGAGGCTTAGGCCGACCTCGTTGAGGCAGCTGGTCGATGGGAGCGAGTAGGTCTTGGCATCTTCGGGAAGGTGGGCGAGGCAGGTGTGGCAGCGTCCTTGTTTGAGGCCGAAGGTGTCGCTGTCATGAGGGGGTCGGACTTGGTGTTTGGAGGTGGACACTGCTGTGTGGACGTCGGAGAGGTTGTCCCAGGCTTCGCGATCATCCTGGGAGCCGGCGTCGGAGCACATGTCGCAGGGAGATTCCAGCTCGGTGGTAGCCATGGTGGTTTTGTGGATGAGGTTTTGGCGAGGGTGCTGTTGCAGGTAGGGGTATTGCGCCTTGTTGGGATGTTCGAGGACGCTCGAAGTGCCTTGAGCCGTGAGGAGCTGAGCGTCTGTCCATTTTAGAAATAGGAAGACATATGTATACGTGAAATTGAGTGAGTCAGCGAGGTCTTGCGCAAGTCAATTACTAGGAGTTTAGGAAAGAGTCCGTGGAAGAAACACCTCACCTCTTTACTTGGTGACTTGGACAAGTCACTGGGGCGGAACGCTGTTGATGAAGCCGTTGCGAACGGTGCGAGAAATATTGCATCGGGTCACCGGGGGCTCTCAGTAACTCGAGGGTGGAGCACGGGGTTGAAGGAAGGGAACAACATTTGCTGTCGGGCGGCCATTTTTTCAGAAAGTTGTAAACAGGGAAGGAGCAGATCTACCTCCCATACACAACCTACCCGTGGCAGTCGCAGCTAGGAAATCCCCACCGCATCGGCGCTTAACGCACAAGGATATCATTTTGCCGCAAGCATGTCGTTTCACCCTTTCTTCGGATGAAATTTGTTGCTCGGCCCCAACAGTCGCCTATCGTATCCCGTCGATGACTAGGATCATTCACAGTCAACGAGAGCATCTCATGGACCTCTGGGCTAGTTTGCTGATCATCAACGGCAAATCCTTCGTCTGCGTCCTGCTCCGACTCACGTCTATGGAAGTTGACTCGGAGCGCTTCAAGATTTGGATCACGCCCGGGATTCCAGTCACGAAAGACCTGTGCCTGCCGGGTCTGTTCTACCGATCTCGTCAGAGCTGTTGAAAACATGTCGCTTTCTCATACAAACACAGTACAGTCTTCACAATTCGAAGGTACTACACTCTCCTTAAGCCAACTAACTCCGTCGAGAACTAGGTTCGTCCCATCAACCTTACCAGGGCTGGGCTGCGTTCGCCCGGACACCTTAGAGCTCGGATTGGTCGGATGCCTGGGCAAAATGGTCCAGGATGCGCCAGTGCAACCCCAATGCGTCTCGATGCAACCGCTTGGCTTCCGAAAAGGGGTAATGATTTGTTTTACGTCAGCTTCTTGGTCAGCAGCCACCACAACGACACGTCAAGTCGAAGTATTGGTATAGATACAGACCCTCTGGCTACCGCATATAGCTGGCATAACAACCTCATCTCAAACTTACTTCACCCTGTCACAGGTCTTGACTGGCATACCGTGCCAAGGCTTCATCATGCACGAGGCGAGAGCAAAGGCACATCTTAGACGGGCGACACCCGCTGATGCGCAAGTTCTCGCAGAGATCGGATATCGTGCCTTCAATCAGGAGCCGATAGATGGCCACTGGTTCCCACGCAAGGACCGATACGTTGAAGACTACCGCCGGGCGATCTTCAACGAGCTTACTCTCCGCCTCGTGACGCCTGGGAATGTGATCATGGTTATTGAGATCGAGGAGGATGGACACGCCGGTCGCAGCGAGGCCGAAGACAAGAATGCTATATTGGCAACCGCGCCAGGAAAGAAGGTCGTGGCTTACGGCGTTTTCGTCAAAAATGCAACGAAACCTGAGGAACTGACAAACTGGTCTCCCGATACGTTGATGCAGAGTATGTATCTCTGCCAATTGAGGGAGCGAGGAAAGTTGGCTAACGACAGCAGGGATACGCCGAGCTCTTGTCCAACTCCAGGAATTCGTGTACGAGACATTATGGCCAAACAAGGCCGTCGACACCGAGACCTATCGTATCTATTACGAGCAGGCGCACCAAGAGTACATGAAGTACTTGAACGACCCCGACACCCCCTGGATCGAATGCCGTGGACTCGCGGTGCATCCTGATTACCGACGACGCGGCTATGCCGAGAAGCTGATGAACTGGGTTGGCCACACGGCCTGGACGGAGGAAGTGCAAATCTTTGCGGACTGCACGGACACAGGACTTCCGCTCTACCTAAAGGCTGGTGTTGAGATTATTGGGAAGGTGACCTTGCCGGCGAAGGTGGTTGACAATGGTCCTGGTTATGAACCCCTGAAGTTGGAGGAGATTCACGCGACGTTGATTCGAGTCAAGTTTTGATTGGCTTGATGTAACTTTCAGCTAATGAAGGGGCATGGTAATAGGACTCTATTAGGAAGGTGGTGGCTCTTTTCGCTCTATTTGCGCGGCGGAACACGTCCACTGTGCAAGCTCGGCGTGGCTGAGGGCAGTATCTCCGAAGCGCAGTAGCCGCAACAATTGAGGATCGAACGTGGATGGACAATGAAACAGTGACACAGGCCACTGTTGAATCGAAAGACCGACCAATACCGCACGAGCCGATGACTGTGTTACCCAGCTTCTAGAACTTTAAGGGGTTGACGACCTCATCAAGTCCACACGCACGAGGTTGAGCACGAACATCGTAATTTTCGGGGTATTTTTGTTTGTCAAAGATTTAAGGGGAGAATCGTGCTCGAAGCAATTAACGGGCAAAGGAAAGGGGTAGGCAAAACGTGCTCGCGTGAGTTCAAGGAGGATGGCATCCATCAAACCGTTACTGGACGGATCAAATTACAACAATCGCCATGTGAACGTTGTCGAAGACATTCTCTGCCCCTCATTGACTGCTTCGAGATGATGAGGACCGGCCTTAGTGGGTAGGTTCAGGGGCTTGAAAGAAATGGAGGGGACGCTATGAAGAGAACTTCAGGACTTCAACAATTATAAAGACCACAGACTCCTGCCCCACGAAGAAGTAATCCATTCACCTGCATCAATGACCGCAACAGGCACACAGTCCAAGGCATCATCCTCAGCCCACACCCATCTTCTTTACCTCGACTCTTCAACCACCGAAATGCATCTCCCCTTCCTTCTCACCCTGGCCCTCACAACCCTCACCACCGCCATCCTAAGCGAGACCGTCGACGCCCTCGCCAAGTGCTCCGACAGCCGCCACCCCTGGCAAGGCGGAGGCTGCGAGAAGAAATGGGGCGGCGGCTGCGCGCAACGATGCAAGAACCAAGCTGGCAAGGAAAATTGCTGCGCGGGGACTACGGGGTCCTTTGTGGATGGATCGGGTATGTCTTCCTTATCTTTGCTCTCTTGCTGTCTTGTCTTGTTTTGTTGCGGTCTCAGGAGCTTCCTGAGACGCCTGGAAGCACCATAGAACGGAGAGCCGCTGACATTCACCAACAGGATGTATCTGGGGATGGGAGACGTGTGAATGCTACTGCTACACGAAGAAGTGAGGTGGGGAGGTGACGGGAGCAGGAGGAATGGGGGATTGAGATAGCACGAGGACTTATTATTTTATTTCTATGTTTTGTTGAGTTTGTAATAATTATCTGTCTCCTTGCCTATTTTGCTTGGAACCTTGATCAGTTCACACTTGCCGCGGGCCCCTTTATGGCAAGGGACTAAAAAGGATATCCCGGAGTCAGGACAACTCCTGATCTGGTGTCTTGCCCACTGCTAGAATCGAACTGACGATCTTATCATCGCTCGTTATACGAGTGACACGCTCTACGACTGAGCCAAGCGGGCTGTGATTGATGATATCCGCTTGGTGGAGGGGATTGATGGGTCTGGCGGCTTCGACAGTTCCACAGCGTCCCACAGGGGAGGTCGTGATCCATCAAACTCATGCTCGATGGCCTGTCATCTGTCTCCCTCTATAAACCGAATCGTATTTGATAGCAAAATTGATGCTGGTGGTGGGACGTGAAGTAGTGGTTCTGCTGGAGGGTTGGTCACTTGATCGTCACCAGGGGTTCAGCGAACAAGCAGGCCTTGGCTTGAGTGCATCGGTAAGTGGGAGAAGAATCTGAAAAGCAGTTGCTCAGCATGCATGGACTTTTCAGATGCCCATGTGCGATGAGATGCGTCGTGATGCATGATTTGTTGCCTTAGCGGGCAGCATGATGTTGTTGCGTTGGGCTTCTTGACACGGATGAACCATGCGGATTGCATGTAGCACATTACCAGCCCCCGAATCTTAACGGTTGCATAGTGTAGCGGTTGTCACATCGGATTCTGATTTAGTTCTTCTGGTCATTCCGGTAACCCCTGTTCGATTCCGGGTACGACCTTTTTGCGCCTGTGTGGTGGAGAGCCCAATCTTTTTGATAGAGCTTCATGTGGAGCTCAACTGTGCTAGCATCCTAGTGCCAATGTCAGACCCAAACTCGATCCGAGGAGAAGGGGAGAATCCCATGGGGGAACCGATACTGATACTTCAGAGGCGTCTGATGACGAACCTCAGACCCAAGCCCTGCATCTTCCTGCGAATGGCCTCCGACTTTCCCTCCAGTTCGGCGAGTGTGTACTCCTTCGTCTTCAGGTCCGCTTCGACAGACCACTTGCTGCCCGTGCGTTCGCCCACTCGATCCCACAACTCCTTCCAGCTCTGCGGGTTGTGCCGAAAGTGCTTCCGTCCGCTCTTGTCGCCGGCCCTTGTGAACTCTCCCGCTTCTTCGTGACCCGATTGACGTCCGATGATCATGGACCCTGGCTTCGGAGCCAGGAGTTGCACGACCCGCCCGGCAATCTTCTCCTGCTCCTCGACGCCGAAAAGATGAAAGAATGCGCCCGTGTAGATGATATCCATCTGACCCGCAAGCGCAAGCAGCGGCGACGCATCGTCAAAGACATCCGCTGGGATGAAAGTCGTCTTCAAGCGGTCCATGTCCTTGAACAAGTCGTAACCGACATCGATGAGGCCGCCGTACAGATCCGAGCCGTAGGTGTTGGCGGAAGGCGCGCCGTCGGCCACGAGCTGGCGGATTTCTTGGCCGACGCAGCAGCCGAGGTCAAGGAACTTGTCACCGTTCTTGATGCGGGCTAGGACTTCTTCATAGACGGGGGTGCTCATCAGGCTCAGGTCTAGGAATTGAAACATTCCAATGCACGGGTAGGGACACACTTGGAAGGCTTTGATTCTCTGTGCGATGGTTAGCAGGCGCGGTCTGAGAGTGGGAAAGGAGCGGGGCGTACCATTGCTTCAACATGGCTGATAATTTCGGCTTCGGGAATGTCGCTGTACTCGCGCAGCAACCTGCGGCCGGGCTCGGTGAGGGCGGATGCATCGAGATCGTAGAATTCGATCTTGCGCGGGTTCGCCGAATTGGGAATGGGGGCGGGGGCAGACATTGTCGAATTTCGAGGTGGTTGGAACAATAATTGGAGCAAAGACGATGGGAATTTGGATCAGTAAAATTCAGTGACTCGAGACGGCGACGTCTGCCTTTATCAACACGCATCGAGAACACCCGTTGAGAAGGTGGTATCACTCACAGGCTAGCTCATGACTCACCTCCACAGCGTCTCATGCGCAACATTAGTGGTGTCATGTGACTAAACGACTGTCTCGAAAGACCCGTCCACTCACCATCGTTCCCGAGAGTGCGGTCGGCAAATCTGCTGCGACGTCATTTTCCAGGGGCTTTTCCTGGCGGCTCGCTTGACACACTCGACAGCCAACCATTTGGCGACGTCAACAACCACTCCAAACCTTGTTTTGAGCGAGCGCGTCAAAAGTGGCGACGACGAGATCAATGTATATAGCTTCAATTTATGTTCTCCATCGCTCTCACTCCATGTTTAATATCTCTCAAAATGGTGGCTGTTCATTGACCTCGGCAGCCACCCAACCGCCAAATCCAATGTTAACCGGACGCTCAATCTTCAACACAATCCCCATCCTACTCCTCCTCCTCCCCCTATCCATCCCCTCCCCAACCCACGACTCCCACCCATCCCCTATCACCACCGTCACCATCTCCGCCCCCTCCGCCTCCCTCTCCCCCACCTTCCTCTCACCCCAACTCTTCACCTCCACCATCCTCAACACCACAAACCACTACCGCACCGCCCACAACTCCACCCCCCTCACCTACAACACCACCCTCGCCGCCTTCGCCTCACGCCACGCCTCCTCCACCGCCTGCACCCTCACCCACTCCACCTCCTCCCCCTACGGCGAGAACCTCGCCCTCGGATGCTCCGACGTGCAGGGGTGCGTTGAGCTTTGGGGCGAAGAGAGAGAAAGATATAATTTCGGCAGGCCGGGGTTTGCAAAAGAGACAGGGCATTTCACGCAGTTGGTGTGGAAGGGGACGAGGGAGGTGGGCTGTGGGAGGGAGTGGTGTGGGGAGGGTGGTAGGTGGTTTTTGGTTTGTGTTTATTGGCCTAGGGGGAATGTGATGGGGAGGTTTGGGGAGGAGGTTCAGGGGAGAGTTGATTCTGGGACGGGGAGGAGGAGGGTTGGATTGGGTTGGTTAGGGGTGTTTGTGGGGGTTGTTTTGGTGGTTCAGGGGGTGTAAGGGGGTAAAGCGAGTTGGGGACTAATTGTGTGGCGGTGAAAGGAGAGGGGATGGTGAGGGGATGTGATACAATGAGCATTGTCTCAGGGTCATCGCTCATGGATTTCTTTCACCACGAGTCATTGGACGTCGATCACGATGATGTCATGCTTTGGTCAACGGCTAGATTTGCTGAAAGGGATCGCATGGGATGAGGCCGAAGATCGACCTGATTAATTGCGCAATTCGATCACTTTTACCCCATTCCGATCGTTCGCACTCCCACACTCGGATGGTGATCGAGGGGCTTCGGACCATATATGAATGCGTCTGCTTCCCAACCTTCTCGCGTGCACTCACTCAATTTTTCCGTAACACCCAATACATCGACAACATGCCCAGCAGCAAAGGCAAACCGACAGATCCCGAGCTTCGTGAGGAGCTCAAGCAAGGTAGAAACACCAGGATTCATCGAGGAGCAGAAGCTGACTATCCTGATAGAAATCCAGCAGGAGCCCAACAAATCAGGGGATGGACAGGGCCAATGGTCGGCATGGAAGGGCATGAAGCTTGCAAAGGAGTATGAGAAGCATGGTGGAAGTTATGAGAACGAAGCTGGTTCCAAGAATGAACCAAAGACGGGGGCGCCGCAGGCGAAGAGTGAAAGGAAGAAGCAGGAGGAGCTGGACGAGTGAGGATTCAGTGTTGTCTGAGGTTTTTGTTTGTCAATACCTCTGTGTTTCGTTGAGGGTGAAATGGTGAGGCTGAACAAGGCAGCGTCTGCGATGGACTTGATCTTGATGCAACGGGTCTGGCAAGCGGTGTCAACATTACCCCCCCCCCCTGGCTGGCATCTATCTTTGTGCGGGAATTGATATGACGCGTTGTCAAGTGTGACCGCGGGGTGTCTCCTGGACTGCCGCTCCCCACAGCAGCTGGGTGAGGCGCGCAGGGAACCGTTGCGACGTGGGCTTGGATGCCTTGAATGCCGGTCAGCCCGGAACATCCCAAAAATGGAGCATGCATCTGTGACAGAGCCGCATCGCAGCAGGCGTGTATCCCGCGTTTGCATATGGACAGGCATCACCAGGCTGAGGCGGCCTCGGTTGCAGAGCTTCCCGAGCTTGCGTCCCTGGTTCGGTGCCTTGTCCTCGGGTAGACTGGAGATGCCGGGTATCCTTTCGCTCCCCGTTTGAAGCCGGTGTTCCGTTGTTCTGACACGCGTAGAAAAAAAAACATACGAAATCGTCAGGAGACACAAACAAACTGACAGCCAACAAGATCGTTTGGACTTTTCCTTCGGAGCCTCGCGTGTAATTGTTTTTTGTGCTGTTGCCCAGAGGTGACGGGGCTGGTCGCCCGCAGATTGCGTGAGGCGCCCAGGTGGTCCGTGCCGCGCTGATGCAAGGCGACTGATGAGGAAAGCGTGCAGTATCGCCCGACCTTTGCGGGTAGCTTGCCCCAAGCTCCCATCGTCCGCGCGAATACCCTTGGAGCAGCATTGAGACGATCCGAGCCGACGATACCTCGACCGCCCCGAAGTAGCCTCATTTTGAGTCTTCGTCGAGGCTCAGACTTTGCGGATGCACTCGAGCTGCAACTGCGCGCCGCGGAACTCCTGAAGGTACGAACCCCTGCATCCAATCAACGCTGCATTGCCCTGGATCGCGAAGATTTTGACGCCTCTCGCTGCACCCCTTGGGCCAGGCTCGCGCATACCTGAAAGTGCTGCGAGTGCTTCATCTGGCCCATTGCGCAAGCCCAATTCTCCTCTGGATGCATGTTTTAGGCGCCGTTTGCACCGGCTGACGCCAATTCACAGACAGGAAGCTTTGTCACCAGCCAGACCCCACCACCGCCGTACCCCGGAGACACAGGCAGACAACGTTGTCGCGGCCTCACCCCCGGATCCAGCCGACACCGCATCCCCCGATCTCTTCCAAGCACCGGCCCAACCGGGGCGAGATGCTGGAGACCTACCAACGACGAAGTCACCCCCACCCACGACGTGACTTGAAGCTCCCTTCCTCGACGAACAGAACTCCCAGTCCTCGAAACAGTGCTTCTTCGTGAAGCCCCGACCCCGCCAACACCTCAACTTCGCCCTCCACGCGGTGGAGTGACCACCTTGTCGGCGCGGTCAAAGAGCCCTAGCGGATATTGGCGATAACATAGACCTCGAAGATGGACGAGTCGATAGAACCGCCGCCCTCGGCTGCTGCGGCGTTTGCTGCCTCTGCAAGC